TGCTTTTAACTGGGTAACATGTATGGTATAGTAAGGATCTGCTGGTGTTATAGTCATATTTGAACTTTTACAATTTTCTAGGTCAGAAAACATTGAAAGGCTTGGGGTTGGAAGAGGGAGGGTACGTAGTTTTTGTTCAATGTAATAACAAATTATTGTAGAATTAAAATGAGTGGTTCATGACAAGTTATGCCATTTTTGTAAATTAGATTTCATTTGTTTAAGATGTTTGGATGTTTTGTTTTTCCTATAATGCCCTGCCTGTGAACCTGTTGAATGAAAAATAATAGGCTAGAAAAGCCTCAACCCTCAACCCTCAAACTTTGCAAATTGTTTATTCCTGTACTAATTGTTGATTTGCTTGTTTTAGTTCCAATTTTTTTAATTATCATTTGTTTTTCCCTTTTTTTGTGGTGTTTACCATCTTGTGTTGGTTTAGTTGTAGTTGTAGGTGTGACAAATTTACAAGCCCGTGTATAAACCCTTTTCTTTATCCATTTACTTCATGAGAGAAAGGTTAAAAGTAGGTCCTTTTCTTTAATTTAATTTTGTTCTTAAGCAAGCTGTTTTTCTTGCTGCACAGATTCAATGAATCTAATTTCGGAGAAGCTGAAATTGGTTTAATAATATATTACACTTGTTCTTCTCCTTTAAGCTTTTGAATTTTCCTTCTGTGTATTGTTCCGTTTTCCCTCTCGTATTTCGAGTTGAAGCTAATATGTTTTTTGTTTGTGAAGTTTAGAATCCATGATGCATTTTGTGATTCGTGTTACAGGATCCTGCCTATTATGTTCTTAAGGAAGATACCTCACCCTGCATTTTTGGTTCTATTGAGAAGCAGAGGTGGTCATATGCATGTGCTAAGCAATTGATTGAGAGGCTCATTTATGGTTAGTGTCATTTGTAATAATCGGGAACCTGTTGAGATGCTTCAAACATGATTTACCGACTTGTTTCCTTGTCTGTTCCAGCTGAGGGAGCAGAGAATGGCCTTGAGTTCACCATTGTGAGGCCTTTTAACTGGATTGGACCTAGGATGGACTTCATTCCTGGCATTGACGGTCCAAGTGAGGGAGTTCCTAGAGTTTTAGCATGCTTTAGTAATGTATGTTGAACTTGTTTTACAGTTCTAGAAATCATCCTAGAAGGCATCTGCAGTTTCTGTTTTTGGCATCATTTGTCTTAATTCTAATGACTATCTCCCTTTTTTTCTGGCCAGAATCTCCTTCGACGTGAGCCGCTTAAGCTCGTTGATGGTGGCCAGTCTCAGAGAACTTTTGTTTACATAAAGGATGCTATTGAAGCTGTTGTCTTGATGATTGTCCGTATTAATTCTTCTCTCCCTTTTCCTCGTCCCTGCATCAGCTCTACCAAAGAAAGTAGCTAAACAAAGTGTTGTCTTCTGTACAGGAAAACCCAGACAGGGCCAATGGGCACATTTTCAATGTTGGCAACCCAAACAATGAAGTCACAGTTAGGCAACTCGCTGAAATGATGACTAAGGTGAAGCACATAATTGGTGTTAACATTTTCGATGTTTGTGGTGATATATTGATTGTGTATAATTTATAACTGTATACGTCATCGGACTGTTCAGGTCTATACCAAGGTTAGTGGAGAACCTGCTCTGGAATCACCGACAATTGATGTCAGCTCCAAGGAATTTTATGGCGAGGGGTACGATGATAGCGACAAGAGAATTCCTGACATGACCATAATAAACAAACAGCTTGGTATTTTCTTGCTTGATTACGATCTTTAGTTTCTCAATAGAAGAATTCCGAGCCATCTAATTTTAACGTTGCATTAGGTTGGAACCCCAAGACATCACTTTGGGACTTGCTGGAATCTACACTGACCTACCAACACAGGACTTACGCTGAGGCTATTAAGAAAGCCATGGTAAAACCTACTGCATCCTGAGGAGACAAGATGTTTAAAGCCCATGTATAAGCGAAGGACTCACATAAAATGTTCTTTGTTCCCCAATGTTTCGGTTTCTTTTTCTTTTAGGAAGTCTTTAAATATATCTTAATTGTCTATTTTTGTTATATGTCAAATATTTGTCTTTTTTGGTAAATTACAAGATTCGTCACTGAACTTTATTCTCACTCTTATAATGGATCACTTAAGGTTACATTTTTTAATTTGGTCATTGAAATTTCAAATTGTTCTTACGACATTATTTATTTTGTTGATATTTTTTTATGACATATGTATATAACATTTTAGATTGATAATGGTATCCGATAGGACCGATACCTGATAAAACCGATCATATCATTTTTTAGCCGTGCTTTAGATGCAGCACAACAGAATTGAGTAGACTCACTCGATTCAGTTCAACCTAAATAACTATTAATCTTCATGTTTTTTTTGGTTTTTAATGAATTTCTCAACAACCAAACAGATACTAAATCGATAACATAAAAAAGAAAAAACCCTTAAAGCTTCTGTATTAGAAATGATATTTAAAAACTGGGTAAATTGGTGAATTAAAAATAATTATTGTCAATTTGATGGAAATGGGAAGTAAAATTAGCATACAAATGAAAAATATTAGGATTTAAAATGCTTATAATATAAAGATTTTAAAACAAAATAAATTAAATTTGAAATACACATTTAAAATCGCGTTAATATGCAATAATCTATTATATTAATCTTTCTTAAGAAAATCTTTTATTTGTTTACTCTTTAGTTTTTTAAATTTATATAATATATTGATGGAAACAATTTAATCTCGTTGATCATTGGAGGTTTACCACTTATGATTTGGGCAGAAAGTCGTAGGCGGTGAGCGTCTCAACATTTGCGGAGATAGAGAATAATAGTCATTACTTAGCAGACAAGTTACGACTTCTCTAAAAAATATCTTCAGAAGACATTTCCCAAGGTAGAACCTCACTTGGAGCATAGAGACTATAGAAGAAAGTGACGTTTTCTCATAGAAGATAACATCTCATGCGGATGATGATTTTCGTCGTGGAGGATAACATCTCATGCGAAGGATGACTTCTCTCGTGAAGGAAACATCTCACGCAGAGGATAACGGGGAGGATGTCTGCATCTCAACACTATGGAGGGTGGTGGAGACACCTCCATTTTTTTGGCCAGATGCTGGTGGTAGTTTCAGAGTCACTACTGTCACTTTTATGTTTTGTTGTTTGAGTGAATCTTTAAACATTGTCTTTATTTGTGAGATCTTTAATTTTATTAAGTGGACGGAGTACGTCAACGCTTATGTTGTGGAGGATTTCTACGTCGTTATAAATTTGTATTAAAATTTTAGATCCGAACATGGTTATCTCTATTCTCCTAGATATACTACACAAATGGTTCTCAACACCTAAACAATATAGTGAAAAGATTGATATTATTTCAACTCCTAGTAAAGGTGTAGAGGTATTATTGTTACTCCGGAATATGTCATATAGAGCTGTTTTCATTATTCTTTTAGGACATCTTTCATGCTTCATAAAATATCATCCATAGATTTTTCAATGTTATGTTGGGCCGACTCATTGATGTTCCGACGAGTACATAGTGAATTTCATTTGTTTCATGCTTTTAGCGAAAATTATTCACGTTTAAAAAAATATATTAAAATAATTTAAAAGTAAAGAATCTAAACACTTAAAACCAATATATAATCAAAGATATTTAAATATTATGAGAATTTAAATAAGCATAAAATTTATATCTATAATTCAACATAAAATATATGATTATTAATAATATGACTTGGGCATTACATAAGAAACCAACCACGTGTTCTCCTTCTTGTAGTTATCATAAATATATCAAATTAATTTTTAAAATTCAAAATCAAAATTCTAAAAAGCCACTAATAAATAAATTTCCAACGATTAATTAATATATTTGGGAAAATATCTCAAAATAATAATAAAAAATCCAATAAAATCGTAAAAGCTATTAAATATTTAGTATATTTTAATTTATTCATAAATAAAAAAGATACTCTTTCCATTAATTAGTAAATAAAATTACTTATATGATAAGAAATTTATTTCCTCATTCACTCTTAAAAATCTTAATAAATAATAAAAAAGTATACACCTTGAATCAACCAAATATAAAATACGTATAGATTTATTAGTCTTGCCCTTATCATTTTTTTTCCTTTATATTTTTTAAGGATATAAAAACATTACAAACCTTTCACAAAAAAATTACTTCTGCCATCTTTTGCAATTAGAATTTTCAATCAAACCCTTTGTAATATTCATGTCTGTACGTTCTTTTCCATGCTATGTTTTTTTTCTTGTTTTTGTGCTTTGAAATATATCGTTATTTGTTTTCTTTTCAGCTTCATGGAAGAGAAAACAGAAAATCTTTCGCATGACTCTGATATTAGCAACGAGACCGAAAACAAGTCGTTTACGGAGGTTCAAACCAGTGAGGCAGCAGGCGCTTTAGGGTCCGGAGAAGGGTCGGTTCGGGATGCAAGCAGAACCAGTAAAGACATGGTTGATAAGAGAGGGAGGGGAAGGCCTAGGAAATATGAGAATGGTGTTCCAATCAGTAATGCCTCATTTGAATCTTCCCGACTACCAACGGCCGCGTATTGTTCGACAAAACGACCTCGGGGACGGCCTAAGGGCACTGGCAAGTTTCAGGCTTTGGTTTCCACCGGTGAGTTATTTTTGGTATCCACACGGTGTGGATACTTAGTGTATAAGATTGAGTAAGCCAATGCTTCATTTAAGTTCTCCAATTTAGGAATGTTGTGAAACCTTTGAAGATCGATGCACTTTAATTGATCAAATGTCTTACAATCACACTTGAATTGCTTTGATTAAGGTGAATATATGGACACTGCTGGAGGAAGCTTTACACCTCATGTACTACCTGTGTATAAAGGAGAGGTAACTGCAATATAACATAAAGGAAGTCAATTATTACATCCTATTGTTGTCTTATAAACTTTTGAGTTTTCGGTTAATCTTTCCTGCAAGTTGTTGTAAGTTCTGTTTTGGATGACGCAGGATCTTGTTGAAAAGATAGTATCATTTTGTGCCACGGTTTGTCGTTCGGTTTGTGTTCTTACTGCTAGTGGTGCTGTCTCCAGTGTTACCCTTTATGCCCCTGGTTCTTCTGCAGGAACTTTGACATATGAGGTTGATCTTTGACTTGTCTAATTACAATACATGATGTATGCATTCATACATATATATATGATCCAAAGCACGAATTTATTGTTTCTAAACTGGCATTCAACAAGAATGGCTGAAACTGAACACTAAAATATGTCTTATTGCAGGGGCTGTTTGAAATTCTTACTCTCGCTGGTTCTTCTGCTGTGCCCGGTGAAGTGGGGACTCGTCGTAAAACCGGTCTTTTGAGTGTTTCATTGGCTAATCCTCATGGACGAGTTTTTGGTGGAAGTGTTGAAGGTCCACTAATTGCAGCTGGCCCTGGACCCATCCAAGTAGGATCCTTTAGTTCTTCTGTTTTTGGTTGCAAAGCTAATCTTCATTCACTTGATCATGAATTATCACTTAATTAAATAAATTATAAACCTTATCAAGTTTACTTTCAGGTCAAGTTTGTGTTTTTAGCTTAAAATAGTGATTGCAGCACAATGTTGATTTTCTGATTGTAACTTTTGTCTTTTGGTTGTTATTATCAGCTTATTCTTGCAAGTTTCAAGCAAAACATCGGCCGAGAAATCCGACGAAAGTATTGCGGAAGAGCATCAACATCAGCCAACATTGTTGCCAGTTCAGAAATGGTGAATGTTCCCATTAATCAAGTTACTCCAACGGCAGATAATCATGAGAAATGTACTTCACCCCAGGTACCAGTTACAATGAAAGCAGATACCCCAAAATTAGATACTGCTCCAACTGAAACTAATAACATAAACTCTGCTTCTCTATAAAGTAGTGGTCCAAACAACTTGCAGAAAATAGATAATCTGAATGCTGAAACCATGACATAAACTCTAGCTCTTCGGAAACGGCTGTTGGTTCAATCAACTTGCGGATCTTGCCGCTCTCACATCCGGTATCCGACGAGATGGTAGATAACTCCGGATACTGTTGCCAGTGTCTTTGAGATGTAAATGAGCATCATTAGTGACATACACAGGCCTTTTGCCATTGACTATTGTTCTTAATAAACTGAATTTTGAAAGTGCTGTTGTTTTTACAGTGGTAATATGGTTTTCTTCAGATTATTCCACAGTCCAAGGTTTATTTGTAGAGAGCACAGAACAGATTGAGCAATCTGCGCTCTCCATAGTGTTGCATATTATTGTTGAACCTAATCCTATCTTATACTACTATTTTTAAGATAAATTATATCGAATATCATTTAATTAAAATTTTATATTAAATTTATCATTGAATTATAAATTGATATAATTAAGCTAAGGTAATTATAAAGTAATAAATGTTCTAAAAACTCTCAACCATTTAACAATGAACATCCTCAAACCCGTGACCTCTAAAAATAACAACGATTCCTTTAACCATTGAGGTAAGTTGGTTTGTCCCACTTAACTATTTAATTGGTTTCAATATACGTGGCAGTTGATAAAATTAGTATAATTAGGCATTTGATCCTCAATAGTTACATATTCTATCAATTTAGTTTTAATTTAATTCCAAAAAATAACCATCCAACCAGATAGTGCCACGTCTCAATCAATTATTTTGACACACCTTGTAACATCCTAAAAGCCGGGTCAGTGACTAAAATGAAAAATTTGGAAACTTTGTGCTCAATTCCGAAATAAGCTAAAAGTTCAGGGACTTAAGTAAAGGATTTTGGATTAAATAGTAAAGATGGATTAACTAAAGGGGTAAAATGGTCTTTTCGTAGGAAAGATTTTTATCCTCCCTTTTTTGAGTAATATTAACGTGGGAAATGTGAGAAACATCTAGAGTTCTCTTCTCCTTTCTTTTTCTTCATGCCTGGGAGAGCAAGACAAAGGTGAGAGTTTTATTAGTTGATTGTTATTTGAATTTTAAGTTTGTTTTTGATCTTTAGTTGATGGATAAACTTAAGAAAAGCTTGGGTTGCGGTAAAATCAAAGAATGGAGGGGTTAAGAGATATTAAAGATTTGGAGTTTTTATATGAAATTTTGGAAAAGAATTGATAAGTAGAATTTGAAGTTAAATTTGACTTGTCAATAGTTAAATTAAGAGATTTGGAGTGATAGAAAGGAATTTAGAACATGTTGAAATTTGAGTATGATTATTGAATTTCATAAGAGGAAAGGTTTTTGAGAATTAAGATGGGGTAAATGAGTACAAATGGGCTTAAGTATGTGTGTTTGAGTTTAGTATATAAAAGAGGTTGAAATAGGAAGTGTTTAAGTTGAAATGAAGTATTTTTCGTGCTGAAAATGTAATTCTGGGCTAGGGGAATCGGTACCCATTCAAGGGGAACCGATACCCCTTCAAGCGAATAAAAATTTTCAGAATGTCATGGGGGAACCGATACCCCCACAGGAGGGAACCGATTCCCCCTAAAGGAAAATTGTAAATATTGGTTTAATAAGTTCGTTTAAGTTGCTAGTATCAAATTACAAGGTGTAGGTATCTAATAATTGCCTTAAAATGTATAATTATGTAGATTCAGAGCCTAAACGAGTTCCGGAATCATTGACAAGTAAGATCGATAAAAAGGGAAGATAAGAGATTGGAATGGACTAGTGAGGCCAGGTGAGTGCATATTAGTATTATATGATGTTAAATGGAAATAAGACTTGCGACAAATCTATTTTCCATAGTAAAATGCATGAATTCATAAATAGAAGTATATATGTGTTGACATGTTATTGTATATATGTATTATATGGTTGATGTGAATATGTGCTATGTTATGATGATATAAACCATATGATATGATAATAAATTATATGAATATAAAAGATAAGTTATGTGATAAGATCTTTGATATATACATATATATAAATGAAATATTACTACGTGAATACATGCTATGAGATAATTTAAGTAATAATATAAGAATATGGTAAAAGTGAGTTTATGAGAAAGGATATGAACTAAGTAAGCAAAGGTTACATAAATAATATATTAACTAGGAGACTTGAACTTCAGTGATACTATGAGCATATAAGATAAGATAGAGGAGAAAGATTCATATGCTTAAATAAAATTATGATACATTAGTTGTATAATAGAAGCTATGGAGTGATATGAAATGATTATAGGAGTTGTATGGAATTGAATTAAGTAAATAGATTAAATTGTATATAAAAGAAATAATAGAAGTAATATATTCAGGTTTATAAGTATAACGTAGGTTAGGTAATGCAAGTGTATACCAAGAAATACATAATAAGGTAGATGATATGATGTAAATTATATTATGAATTAGTGATGTAGGAATGAGATATAAATATACAATAAAACTTATGTGTTATATGATAAATATGAACATATGAGAATAAGAGATTAGATAAGTGACTTGGTGATAGAAGCTATATGACCATTGATTAGGTAAATATGAATAATTTAAGTGATATGTAACTATGAGTATTTGAGTATGTATCCATGTGAGGTGATTCATGAGATTATATGAAATATTATACTATATGACTATGTGAGTATATGAAAAAGAATATAGGTACATGCAAGTTATATAGAAAGGAGTTGTGTAACCATGCCTGATATGTATTACATGTATGGGAATATAAGAGAATAAAACATAAACTATATGAAAAGATATGATTCATGTGATGTGAACCATGTGAACACATGAGAAAGTGTATAAGTTATATGTATTACATGATATATGTGATTTTACAAGAAATAACATGAGCTATGTGATTACATGATTATAAGAGATCAGACATGTGATAAAAGATAATTAATATGCATGTGTGAATATGAAATGATATAAATGACAATGCCCATGTTGTGTGTCATGAGAGCTAGGGGTATAGTTGGCATGCCAAAAGTCGAGGGTCTACGCGGTCCTTCGGGATATATATATATATTCTTTGGAACATGTGTGAAGTCTTGTGAGATACATACTTGATCCAGAGTATATGTATATGATTCTTAAGGAATGATATGTGGTCCTTATGGACATTATTATATGGCACTATGGTGCAATTCTACGCGGCACTACGGTGCAATTCTACGTGGCACTTCAGTGCATTTATATGAGCTATGGTGACAGCATTAGTGCACAACATCCATAGATTCACATATCTATAGTTCTCACATATGTACATGGGCTAATCAAGAGATATAAACAAATATATGTTAGTGATATGATAAATGTTATAGAAATGTTATGATGTTGTGTGTGTATAGTGTTTGATTGAAAAGGTTAAGCATAAAAGTATGTGATTACATGATAAACTGCTAATGATGATTTACGTGTATGTATGTATTTATTGTTAATTAATCTGATATGATTTTGCATGATATGAGGAAATCATGTAATTTGGTATAGCATGATAGAACAGAACATGCATGTATTGATATATGTTATAAAGTGCATTATAAGTTTTTATGCCTCACTAAGTCATAGACTTAGCGTGTGATTGATTCACACGTAGGTTACAAAAGCTAGAAGAGAAGTGAAGAAGAGTAGGACATGTCAGCATATTCCTTACAAAATTTCAGATCAGAAAATAGATGATTTAAATGGTTTTGGTTATTTTGAATATAGTTGGCATGTACTAATTGATTGAGTTAAATATGCTCTGATCGATTATGGTTTTTGTGGTCAATTTATGGAAATAAACCACTTTTACTTTAATGAAAGTTTTAAATTTTCTTGAATTTTTGTTAAGAGTCAAAGTTTGAAAAGTTAATGTGACACATCGACTCGGATCCGGGTCGGTTACGGGTTGGGGGTGTTACACGCCTAACTTTGAGGTTGGTGTCAATATGACTACAAGTTTTAAAATTTTATCAATATGACTACTTAACTATTTAATTGGTGTCGATAAAACTAATTTATAATTTGAATCTTAAATTTTTGTCTTTATTTTTTCTAAATTATTTCTCATAAATTTGAATCAAATAAATTAACGGCAAGTGGTTATATTGAAACCAATTAAATAGTTAAGTGGTCATATTGATAAAATTTTGAAAATAGTAGTCATATCGACACCAACCCCATAGTTAGGTGGTCATTCAAGTAGTTGACCATAGATTTTTTAGGTGAGTGACCAAAATAAAATTAAAATATAATGTTAGATAAGATTTTGAAAAATAATAATAAATAGGTGACCAATATAAAAACTAAATATAAGTGAGGAACCAAATAAGTAGTTTATCCTAATCAGTTTAACTCAAAGCTGGACCAATAAAAAAAATTCTCTATATATCAACCATTGGTATTCCTGGCAAACATTTGAGTTCTCCCCGCATCGAGAACGGAGAAAATCTACAATCCAATCACACAAACTCTTGTACCATAAACCCTTTCATCTCCGATAATCCACTTCTTCGCACTCCCCACTCCTCTTTCGAGAGAGAAGCAAAAATGGCGGAGCACTTGGCGTCAATATTCGGAACGGAAAAGGATAGGATGAACTGCCCCTCTATTTCAAGATTGGCGCGTGTCGTCACGGTGATCGGTGCTCGCGTCTCCACACCAAGCCTAGCATCAGCCCTACTCTCCTCATCTCCAACACGTACCAGTGCCCCGACATGATTACCCCCGGCGTCGACCCCCAGGGTAACCCCATCGATCCCCGCAACATCCAATAGCATTTTGAGGTATTTCTCCTTTAATACGTTTTCATTTTGTATTAGGCAGGGATTTAAATGCGGTTGTGTTTTTGATCATGCTGCGCTTATGCAGTTGCGGACGAGATGGCTATTGCTTTCGTGATTTCTTTTAAAGGGTTGATTTTTTTTTTTTAAAAGATTAGAATAACGGAACAACAGTGGGAATAACGGCCCGCTTTTGTCATTTGGCCACTACCTGTTGAATTGCAGCCCTGAGTATTAGATGTTTCATATTAATTTTACAGGGATTTTATGAGGATTTATTTGAGGAACTGAGCAAGTACGGTGATATTGAGAGTCTGAACCTATGTGATAACTTGGCTGATCATATGGTAAGTTTCCTCTTCCGCGATGTGTCTTTGGGATCACTTTTATTTGATAATTTAATGTCATGCTTCAATTTTGTGGGCAGGTGGGCAATGTCTATGTTCAGTTTAGAGAAGAAGAACATGCTGCTAATGCCCTCAAAAATCTTACCGGAAGATTTTATGCTGGTACGACTTCTGTTTTTTGTGTTATATTATATGTATATATATTGTTCGGTTAGGATGCAAAATGCAACAATTTCTTGTGTGGCCATGTTAGAGCCGATAATTTGTCTTGGTTGGTTTTCGTGTCGAGACTCGAGATGAAGGTGTAACAGATAAATAGTTCGACACAGGAATTTAATAGTGTAAAGTCCTTGTTACGAAAACATGTTTATTATGCAGGTTGCATTATGACACTGTTAGTGCTTTGAAATACACTTAAACATGACACACTTAACTGATTTAGACATGATTAACCTACTTAAAATTTTTCACGAATAATAAGTTTTTTTTCGCATTTCAAATATCAATAACTGTTAGTGCAGGTTCACAATTCTTTGATATGGATTTTTTTTCTCATTTTCCTTTTAGGTTTTTGCCTTTTGCAATTGTCATGCTGCTTGACTGCGTGTATTTAGTTGTTGTTGTATACTAATATACATTTTGATGCGTTCATGTTATATAAGAAAATAAAGATGAACAACTTAACCAATCAGTCAAATGTATCTCCTTCGCAGATAAACCATTGCAGCTGGTGCGGAAGCTTCTAGGAGACTTTACAAAGTATAAGATGACCTCACCTCTCATATCATTCTACTTCACACGATTTGTCTTAAATTGAATCGGTTTGATTATTGAGTAAATTTCAATTTAATTTCTGACAAATTCCCTATAATTTATTTATTTATTCAAATCAATATTCTTTTAACTTTAAACTTATTAATTAGATTAAATTAAATTTGAATCTGATGATGCAAAATTCAATACGTCTACTTAAGTATTGATTTCGCTGTCTCTAGACTTTTCGCTTTCAAATGGACTCGTTTCCTATTTCGCCTTCTATTTCTTCTGTATGATCCGAGAATAAGGTTTGCAATGGAAATGTACTAATCATGAATTTAATTAGTTATTTATTGTCAAAATTTAAAACAGTGATAGTTTTATAATAATTTTGAAATTATTCGAAATTATTGTTGTACGGTCGTAATATCCACGATATATACAATAACACTAAACACAACACGATCGAAATCCATGATATAGTCTACATGAGTTTTGCCTATATGTTCTTTTATTTTTGGATAAAGTACACAAATGGTCATTTGATTATATGATATTGTTTTGTTGAGTACCCTGATTATTAAATATTATAAAATAGTCCTTTAATTATAGAGAGTTACTTTGTTGAATTCCTCAACTATTAAAAGTTATAAAATGATCATTTGACTATAGGGAGTTCCCCTGTTAAGTCCATTGACTATTAAAAATTATACAATGATCACTTGATTATTCATTATGTTACAAACTCGTTATTTTTTATTAAAAAAATTAACGATTGTTTGAGTTGGACGTTAACATGCTTATTGAGATATGATAGTCGTTTTAGATTATGAGATCATATTTTATCATATCTCAGTTAGCATGTTAACATCCAGCTCAGACTGTCGTTAAATTTTTAACGAAAAAATACAAGTTTGGAACATAATGAATAGTCAAATGACCATTTTATAACTTTCAATAGTCAACATAATGAATAGACAAGTGATCATTTTGTAACTTTCAATAGTCGAGTAACTCAACAAAGTAATTCTCTATAATTGGAGGATCATTTTGTGATATTTAATAGTTGGGGACTGAATATAACAACTTCTTACAGGGACCATTTGTGTACTTTATTCTTTATTTTTCTTCTTTTGCATCGGCTAAGATTCCATCTCTGTAGTCCCTAAAAGTTTAATTTCGTCACTAATGCAAAATATAGAGAAAATCAGCCGAACAAGGATTTTCCTCTACATAGAACAAACCCAGAAAAAGAAGGAAAAATTTTATTATTTTATATGTTGGATGTATGTGCATCCCCATTGGGTGCTTGGGTATTTTATCTAAAACGAAAAAACCAAGCCCCGAGATCAATTAAACCAAATATGTTTTTGACGATGAAACGAGCGTTCATCGTTTCTGAGACCCGAACATTTGATCAAGAAGGATAAGTAGAGCCATGGCGCAGTCCATTCCGATGTAGTCCGGCCGAACAATAAGGCGGAAGACATCGGTTCCCAAGGCGACTCCGCCGACACCTTCTTTCTGCTTGATCTCCGCTACTAGCCTCCTCTTATCATCATGCACGGCGCAGCTCCGCTGTGAATACGAGCCTTCAATATCATACACGATGTTGTTACTTCCATCGTTAACGTAAGCCAAACACTTGTTGTTCATGATGTTTATCGATTTCTTGACGGAGAATCGTGGATTCACCGTGGTTTCTCCCTCGTAAACAACCCAGTTATCTCCGAGGCTCATTTTCTGACGATATTAACAAAAGAAACATCCTTAAATTGAAGCTAATTAACTACGATTTCATCGTTTAAACTGAACCCCCCCCCACCAAAAAAAAAGAAAAAAAACTGATGTTTTACCTTGCGACGGATGCTGAGGAGAGGGTTGCCATTGGCATCCATGAGAAGGATTTTACCTTTCTTGCCTTCCATGTAATTATCGACCCTGAAAACCAGATCACCTTTGGAATCGAACACCGTGAAACCGTAACAGTTGAAAAGCAACGACTTTTTCCAGACGGTTAAAATCGCCTCCTCCCCTGTTTGTGTCGACGGTAGCGGCTTCAGCTGCTGTGGCTTCTCGGAGATGGCATCACCGACGGTGAAACTAGCATTTGGGAAAACCTTTGTCATTGGCGCAAAAGAGGATCAAAAACCCTTCTCGAATCAAAGTTTGTTTAGGTGAATGATTAGACCAAAGAGAGTTTGTAAATATATATACATATAATGTGAGGGAGAGAGCATAAAAGAGGCGCACCAACTGAGTTTTGGTTAGAAAAGTCTAATGCCCCTTCATTATTTCCATGACGTCAAATCGACAATTGATTGGACGACGAAATAGTTGAAAAGAAAAAGTTAAAACAAAGGAATGGCTTGGATAATAAAGGCGAAAATTGTTTAAGAAAGAAGTCCTCCAACTTTAAAATATTATAATCAAATCCTTAAAAGTACTAGTATTGTATCAATCACATCCTTTCTTTAACTTAACCATCATCATCTTGAGTATTAAGAATTAATCTTAATGCCATATTTTTTAAAAAAACACTAATCAAAATTCATCTACTTGCAATAGTAAATTCAGAAATATTTTTGAAGATAGACACATATATATTAACTATATAATTTTTTAGACTAAATACAAATAAAATTTAAAGATAGATATAATCAATAAAATAGATAATTAACCGAAAGAAATTTATATTTCATGATGAATAAGTGTCCGCTCTCACTCTTACTTGCATCCGCCAGACAGCTTATATATTTATCGTATGAATAGTTTGAATATCATGTGTTAAAACTAATCTTCCTATATTTTAATGTCATTGTTTAATTTTAACATTTTAAATCTAAAATATGCAAGTAGGTACATATGAATTTTAAATTTGATACTATATTTTGAATATATTTTATACTAAATTTAAACTAACATTTAATACTCAAATTTATTATCTAATTAATACGATAATGCTATTTTGAAGACATAACTAAAGTGTTTTAGACTTTGAGGACCACTAATGTCTAGGCCCTTGGTGCAACTAACCCAAATTTTTTAAAAATACTAGCCCCCAAAGGCTATCTTTAACTTGCAAAGGTAGCAAATATATTATTTAATATATGTTGAAAAGGTCCTTCCAAAAAAAATTCTGTTGAAAAGGGTTTTTTTTTTTAGATTTTGGCCCCTCTGTTTTTTAAAAGTAATTTGACCTCAAACCTTTTGGGTGTAATTTGGACTTTGATTTTGAGCTACAAGTTGTCCCTTAACTTTGGCATTGAACTACAATTTAGCCTACAAATATACTTAACAAAAAAGAATTAAATAAAGTTTGAATTATAAAATAAAATTCAGTTAATTTGATTTTTTTTACTCGACTCGATCAAATATATGTTGGTAATGCTCTAGAAAGCATGATATATCACATTGGGAGGGAAAATCCTTTGGGAATGATATCGAAAGAGATTCTCTTACCCTCATTTGTTGAATGTGACTAGACAAATCCCTCACGTGCACGCGCTGTCGATGCCTAACCGACTCGAACTATGGTCGTGGTAATAGTTTGGCTAATGAAACAGTGTATTTGGATGAGATTCAATCTAGACACAGTCTTTTACTACAGTTGTTATAACAACTATTTCATCATCAATTAAAATTGATTTAAATCTAAACTATTGCAAGGATTATACAAATCGAAACGATTTCATTCTTAAGACAATTGTTAATACCACGACACACTTATTCTATTACCTATTTATTTTATTTAAAATTATTTAGTTAATGCTAACGATTTCATTTTACAGTTTCTGTTTCACCAACAATACATTACCCTTGCAAAATGCAGCAAAAATTGAAGAGTCAAATTGTATATTAAAATCAATATCAAGGGCTAAAAGATATATAAATTAAATAAAAAGTATTTTATTTAATTTATATTGGTACAATCTAAAAAAAAAGTTAAAATATGTGGCTGATATCTAGTTTGCGGCGACACTTGTCCTTAGGCCGATACTTTTGCTTTAGATATTTTCTTTTCCGACGATATTAGCATTTGACGACGATTCCTTTGAATGTATATTATTTTCTTTGGGGCAGGACGGCTTTGAGAGGCGGTGACCCCCTCCTTTGCCAGGAGCCATTATTATTATTATACGCGTCTACATTAAGCTTCTAGCAATACCCTCTTCACTTCTTTCTCCTGAGATATAATTTCTTTTAGTATATAATTAATGTGTCGTCGACAATGGAGTTTAAATTTTCAACGTGTGCGACGTGAATGAAACAAAGTAGCCGATAAATTGGCTAAGTTAGTCATTTCGGATAATATCGAGGTCTGTCAATTTGTCTATCCACCATTGGAGGTGTGTGAGCTGCTGCACGCAGAAAATAGTTACCAGTTAGAGCTGTAACTTTGGCCTTCTCTTCTATTTACCAAAAAATAAAAAGAAATAATTATGAGTTTACAATTCAAACAAATGGATTAAAAATGAATTTTCCCTATTTGGAAATTAATTTTTACTGTAAAATTGTACCGTTTCAATATTTATTCGTGTTAAATTACGAGTTTAAATTTGATTACCGTGTTCTCTTATTTTTATAGATTATTTTTTGATTAATTTATGGTGAGTACAAGGTAATATTTATTCTGAAATACTCTCCTATTTGACATTGAACCTCGTACTCATACATCATGATTATCAAAATCGGATCAGATCAGTCGGTTCAACCGGTTGAACCGTGAATCGGTGGCATATCCGATCCGGTTATTTCACAAAACCGGTTTGGTAATGAACCGGCTGAAAACCGGCAAAATCGGTTTGAACCGCCGGTTCACTTTTTTCTTTTAAAAAATTAAACCAAACGACGTCGTTTGTTCAACGAGCCGAGTCAAATTCGAGTATTGCCGAGCTCGACTCGAACTCAAAACTTTAAAAGTAAGCTCAACTCGACTCAAAAACTCACGAGCTAAAAATTATCAAGTTCAACTCGAACTCGAAATATACTATTAAAACTTGAACTCGAAAAGGCTCGAACTAAAAAAAAATTAGAAGTTCGATTGAAGCCTAAAATTTGAGCTCAATTGAAGCGAAAGAATAGTTTACTATGTGCTCACCAAAAGGCCACATGATTTTGAATGTCAAATTACCTCTATTGTTTATAGAAGTAAGTTGGGATGCTCTTCTATGTTTCTTAGGCATGTGGGATTGTTTTTCTTAAAAAAAAATTAAACCAAATGACATCATTTGTTATGATTTTTTTAAGCCCCAATTTTATTTTTTTTATTATAGTTATATAATTATATTTATTATTTAATATGTTTTACCTTAAATATTATGTTGTAATTGATTTGAATCATTTTGTTTTATTTGATTTTATGGTTTTTAATTTATATATGTTATGACTTCTGATATTTTTATACCTTTTAATATTGTAAACTTAAAAAAAGTATTACATATATATTAATATTGCTTTGAATATTATGTAAAATTAAAAAAATTATTATTTTATATAAAATCCGATTCAATCGCGGTTGAACCCAGTTGAACCAGTGAACCAGTACCTTCACCAGTTTAATGTCCGGTCCGATTTTAAAAATATTGCCATACATACATGGTCTTCAACTCAATACCTCAAAGAATAATAATAATTTCTTAATCGTTAAGATCATTTGGTTTGTGTATTTTTATAAATTATTTAATTGTATTTATACCTAACACATGTATATTTAAGTCTTTGTTAAAATATTTATTTATGATGATTGTGTATTTAAATATAATTACTTCGAATATGATTGTCTAACACACAAAAAAACACATTTGATCACGTTAACTTAGCTGACCTAACCAGAAGCTTAATTACAGGATGAGAAAGGTTTAAGGTTTTACTTAACTACTTAAACCAACTTGTTCCTATTAGTCACAATATATATATATATATATATATTTTGATGCAGGACATATCATGTAATGCCATAACATAGTTAGCTTGGCGGTCCTTGCCATAACATTTGCCTTTTCACATAGCAAATATCCAAAGCATCACTTTCTATCTTGGATGGTTTATGTAAAAAAATATATGTATAAACTTTGATTATTGTAAAATAATTTAATTTTACAAATTTTATTTATTTTATTATTGTTCACTTTATATCTTTGATTTTTATATAAAAAATATATTTAAATTAGAGAAAATAACCTCAGTGATCAAAAATCTAATATAATATACGATTTTAACCAACTTTTTCCGGATTTGTCAAAATGACCAACAAAATCGCAATGCGATCGCTAATTCGCAACGCGATCTCCATTATCGCAAATTCGCGTTGCATTTCGCGTTGCGATAGTTGAAAATCGCGTTGCGATGGTCTACAGCGTCGTTGCGATTTTCCCAATTCGCAATGCGAATAAGTAAATCGCAACGCGAATTGGGAAAATCGCAATGCAATACTGACTATCGCAATGCGATACTTACTATCGCAATGCGATAATACAAAATCGCAACGAGATACTGACTTTCGCAACGTGATTCTGACTTTCGCAACGCGATAATACATAATCGCAATGCGATTTTCAAAGCGCCATTAGTATCCTGACCAAGTATTTTATTTTTAAATTCCAAACACGAATATTAATATATTGGAACACTGAACCGTCCACAGTATATCCCGTAATCGCAACTCATAACCTAAAACCTAAAATCACAACTCAGTCCCATCTCCATCTCTCACTCTCTCACCCATCTCCGACGAAATCCGTCCCCATCTCCGGCGAAATCCGTCTATCTCCATCTCTCAGAGCCACCCTCACAATTAGAAATGGAAAATCAACCAAATCAACCAACGAGGGTTAGTTTTTTTAATTATTTTCTTTTTGAAATTTTTGCATTATTATTAGGTTTTTCATATTGAAATTGATGATAAGTTTACTGGTAATTTCAATAATAGATTAACCATTTCACTTAGATTGCTTATTAAATCAACCGAGAATCGCAACGCAAAATGCAAATCGCAACGCGATTTTAGTTTCGCGTTGCGATTCTCTCGTTGCGATAGTCAAATTCGCGTTGCGATAGTCATTTTCGTGTTGCGATTTTCATTTTCAGAAACTATTCTTCTTCTGCAAATTGAAACTTGAATGAATTGCATTACTTCAACCAAAAAACAAAGACAAATACGAAATTCACAGTGTTGCAAAT